TCCCCACTGCCCAGCCTCCCCTCCCGTACTGTCTTGCTTCTGCTCATGGCATGAGCCCCAACAGGCAGCCAGGCAGGGGAGGGGCTGGGAGTGGACAATCCTGAAGCCCAGTCTGGTTCTGCAGGTCGAAGATGGCCAGCTGTGCACAGCTCTTGGGCACAGGCACACTGGCACCTCTCAGGACCTTCACATCCCAAGGCCACGGACACACCACACAGCCTCATCTGGACTTCTCTGAAAAGTATGTCTGTGACACCTTGCCCCAAGGCACACTGGCACCTGCTGAACGGGTTCCGGGCTAGCACAGGCTTGCCCTGCTAGCCGCCCCTGGAACCTGGCGTGGAACCCAGCCTGAGCCCTGGGTCAGAGTGGTGTGGAGGATCCTGCCCCAGCCGCCCACCAGCCGCGTTCCGGGAGCAATAGTACCAAGGTTCAAGGCTACCTGGAGGGGCCACAGTCATGGCCACAGCAACTGTGCCCACCAGGCCCCCTGCATTCACAGCCAGGACTATTGGAGGGGTTCAGACCCACATGGGGTAGGAGTGCTTTGTGGCTAGGGGAGGTGGCAGCAGAGGCAGGAAACTATCCCCAGACCTATGGCAGCTACTTGGCTAAGCCCACCAGTGATAGTGACAGTGCTGCTCCCCAGCTCTGGGCTACCTGCCCTACACTGAGGCGGCCCCCTCCGGCCCTTTTTCTCTTTTCCTCCCTCTCAGGGTAGGGCTCTGCCTGGTGTCGTACCTCTTCCTCTTCTGTCTGTAAATGGAGTGCTACAATATACAGAGACCCTAGCTCTGACATCGGGTACGTGGGGACCCTGCTGATCTCAGAGGGTTTGGGGGCTGGCATGACCTCAGGGTGTAGAGGACAAGCGGGATTCTTTCTATGACTGTGGAAGTGAGGGTACAAGTGCCCCCCCATGACCTGGGAGTGCTGAGGATGCATGGGTGCCCCATCTGTGACCTCAGGGTGCTGAGAGTCTGTGGGGCCCTGCCCGTGACCTGTGGTATTGAGGGCTTGTGGGCACCCCACCTGTAATCTCAGTGTGCCGAGGGTTTTGGGGACTCTACCTGTGATCTTAGGGTGCCTACGGTGCGTGGGGACCCATCTGTGATCTTGGGGTGCTGATAGTGTGCAGCCCCAGGCTGTGCCGTGCTCCCTGGCAGCCCTCCCTCACACACGTGGCCCGGACACAGCCTACCTCCTCCATGGCTCTGGCACAGGTAAGGAAAGCGCCACACGTTGCCCAGCCCCACGCAGAAGCCCACACAGGTCAGCATGTACTGGGCTTTGTTGTCCCACTGGGGCCGTGAGCTGGCCTCTTTCTCCTCGATGACATCCAGAGTGTCCAGAGATGGGATCCGGTCCTCCAGGCCGGGGTTGGGCAGCACAAGCCGCACCATGGTGGTCGCTGGCTGAGCAGGGCTAGTGTGTCAGCAGAGCAGCAGTGGGTGAGTGGCAGGTTGGGCGCCTGGGTGCTTTATAGGGAACCTTTGGCACCTCGCCCCAGGCACCTGGGCAAAAGGAGGCGTCAGCAAATCCACCGGCGGGCGCGTCCTGTGCGCTGTTAATGCCTTATCTGTGAGGCCCTGCTGGTCAGAGCCACCCCTACCCCACCCCCACCTGATTCCTCCCCCTATGCTGACACCCAGCCTGTTGGCCTTGGGGTCTGGTTGCACACCCTGCTATGAGGGGTCCTATTCCCCAGCACAGATGGCAGAGGAGCTCCCCAACTCCAGCCCCTTGACCTCCAGCCCCTGGCCAGTAAGAGATGGGGTCCCAAGCCCAGGAGGGATCAACAGCAGAGTCCTCAGGCTGAGTACTGTCACTGGAGAGGCTGAAGCACAACACACCACCCACCCTTCTGGCCAGCTGAAAGGCAAGCAAAGGATCCCACCCTGGGGTTATGTCTAAGACAGCATAGAGGCAGAGTGGGGCTCAGAGCAGCTCCCCCAGGCCACTGGCCCACCCGGTGGGAGTCCTCTTGGCAGGTGAACAACATCACAAGGTCCTCCCCCAGGTGTCCCAGCTCCTTCCCAGAACCTGCAGCACTGGGTGGGAGGAGATGTTTCCTGATGTTCTGCCTAACAATGGCCAGGCGGAGCCTGTCCTCCCTTGCAAGGAATGGAAGGGGTTGCTCCTCAGGGCCAGCAGGGCCAGGCTTTGACCTTTGTCCCCACCCACTGGGAGTTCTGAGAGGGTGGAGGCCACAGGAAGAAGAATCAGGACAACTGGCTTGAGAGGGTTGGGGCTGGTGGGGGGGAGGCTAGGGAGATGCAGCTGCAGAGACAGAGACAGAGACAAAGACGGACAGAGATATGCAAAGATAAAGGCAGACAGAGACACAGAGATAGAGACAGAGAGAGACTCACAGAGATAGAGACACAGAGACAGACAGAGAGACAGACAGACAGGTAGAGAGACAGATGCACAGACATATAGAAAGAGACAGGGACATATAGAGGTAAGATAAGGCAGAGATGGAGGCAGAACCCAGGATGGACCCCCAGGCTGTGGTGGGGCCAGGGCACCAGGCGCGCAGGATGGTGTGGACAACAGGACTGTGTTGGGTGAGGCCTGGCAGAAGAGGTCCCTGCTGCACAGCTCTGGCCTTGGGCCCTGTAGCTCTCTCTAAACCCTGAACTTCTAGAAGGTTCGGCCTGGGCAGCCCAGACTCCTGAGCAGTGGTGCCCAAGTGCACTGAACCCCACATCCTATGCATAAATCCTTGCAAAACCACAGCACCCTGCACCCTGTCATTTCCTGAGTAGACCGGAGATGGCAGAGGCTGGCACCGCAGAAGGAGGAGGGCTTTGGCCTGGCATTCCCACCTGGGTGGATCCCTTCCCCTGGGCTCATGGCTGGGTGTCCCAGCCTCTGGAACTGCTTAGGGTCTCATATGTCCTCTGGTGCCTCAGTGGTCTGCTAGCAGCCGTAGTGATGACTGGCACCAAGGGCACTCAGTAGGATGCCACTTGCAACCTGTTTTGGTGTGACATGCCTGGGCCCTGCTCCCCAGAACTGTGTCATCTACATAGACCCTCGGGGCACCCTTGGCACAAGGTCAGGGTTCCCACCTGCCCTCCTATACCCATCTCCTCTGCAGTTTGTCCCCAGAGCAGTCAAGGTGGCCAGCCTTCTCCTTGGGTGAGTTCATGGCCCAGCCAGGGCATCTGGGTCTCCATCCACGCCACCCTCATGGCAGCCTGGCCAGTTAGGCAGGGATGGTAGGGCAGCAGTCATCTATGGCTTTCCTGATGGTCGGGGCTTCCTTGTGCGGACTCCATGAGCCTTTGGCACTTACTAGAGATGTATTAAAAAATAAGTAGAAAGATGAAAACACTGCTCCCTCTTGACCCAAGAGTGACAGCCTGCATCACCCAGCTGCTGGGTTCCACTGGTAAGGGTGGACATCTGGGGCGACTGTTGGTGGTGTGCTCAAATGCACAGGGCCTCCGGTCCTGTGTCCCCACATTGTCCATCCCATGCTGGGGCCACATGGGACTGAGGAAGGCAATACCTGCTGCATGGAGGGAGCCCTGCTTCAAGGGATACTGTTTGCCCCTGGCTGCCTAACGTGTGTGAGTCTGTCCCTGCTCCCTGCCTCTGAAGCTCTACGTCTGTGCTTTTTTTCCATTGTGGAGCTTGAACCAGGACCCTCACACTGAGCTCCATGCCCAGCCCTTTTTAACTTTTTATTTGGAAATAGGATTTTGCTAAATGGTCCAGGCTGGGCTTGAACTTGTGATCCTCCTGCCTCAACCTATCACAGCGCCGTGATTACAGGTGTACGACCCCCACGCTCAGCTCTGCACATGGTTTTTACTTAGCATTGTATCTCAGGAATTTTCCTTTCATTATTTGATAAAATTACTTGAAATTTAATTCTGATGAATTTGTTCTCTTTCTTTTCTCTCTCTCCCTCGCTCCCTCCCTCTCTCCCCCCTCTCTGTTTAGACAAGATCTCACTCACCATTAGCCCAGGCTGGCCTTGTACTCACCATGATCCTCTTGCCTCAGCCTTCCAAGTGCTGGGATTACAGGCATGCGCCACTAGTTCCAGGAATGCATTTGTTTTTAGATACAACTATTGAGTTTCCCATGCCAATGCCCTCTCTGGCATGTGGTGTCACCTGGAGCTCCAGCGCAGCGCAGCACCTCACTTCCCCTGCTCAGTTTCTTGGTGCCAGGTGTGCATGTTTTCCTTGGTTTCTGGCAGCTGGATTTGGAGCCCCAGAGCCCAGGCGGTGAAGGTTTCATGCCTGAAGGTCTCTATCAGAGGAAGGGAGGTCATCAGGCTGTGCCTTGAGGGGCTGTGGGACCCCAGCTTCTCTGTAGAGTGCATGCATGTCACCAAGTTGCTCTGTAAGGCTGGGGTATAGCTGGGTACAGTGGCACGTTCCTCCACTCTGAGAGGCTGAGGCAGGAGGATCACAAATGCAAGCTCAGAACCTCTCTCTCACACTGGGGACTGCTCACTATTGAGCCTCGCCCAACCCAGCCCCATCCACTCCCTGCTTTGGAACTGTGGTTCAGATGCATCTGAGCTTACTGCATGCACACAAAGAGCAAACACCCTGGATTCCCAGGACCATGGGGTCTGCGACTTGCTCACAGGGCACCTTTGGTTTGAGACAACCCCAGGGTAGCAGCAGCACCATGGGGTCGTTCCACGGTGGAGCGACTTCAGCATCCCTGCTTGGGGTCCCAGATGGGTCATTTCTGCCCACAACCTGCCCACCAATGCAAGTGAAAGTCCCCCTCACCTCTCTGAGGTTGTGGTCAGCCAGCTGTGGTGGCACCTTGATGGCCAGGTGGACATTGCCTGTACACCATTCTCTGTCCTTTCAGACCGTGTCATCCAGTCTGAATCATGGTCGGGGGCCTGTGGTCTGGAGGGGCCCATGTCCAGTCCTTGCAGAGGGACCTACACAGACCCTCTGGCCTTAGGGAGACACCTGTGATACCCACCCCTGTATGGGGATTGCCATGGCCCAACGGGGTGCTGAGAGCCCCTGTCCTTGCCAGGCCCCATGGGTCGCTGCTGGGGTGTAGGGAAGCTGAGCACAGAGGAAACCAGGCTGGGCGAGAGCCCTCTATTTTCTGTTCACCACACCCCCAAGGTAGGCCATGGTCACCACTGCCAGGCACGTGGTCCTGGGAGGACAGGACCCATGCCTGTGCCCAGCACTCGGGTTTCCACCCTCTTGCTCCCTGAAAACCTTCAGTCATGGGGTTAGCTGTGGCCAGAGCCAAGTGGGCCATGGAGCAGTAACAGAAGGTGACGCTTAGATTCCTGCAATGGCACCGTGGCTTATGAGTCCTCTAGAAGGACTGGGGAGGACAGCGGAGGACGCAGTGACCAGCGGACACTGGCAGGTGGGGAAGATGACTGGGGACACAGTGACAGGTGTGGAAAGGTGGATGACCCCAGGAAGCACTGCTGTCCCCATAGTGAGCTCAGGAGAGCAGAGGGCTGTGGGGGAGGGCAACTGGACAGCGCCATGGGACAGACAGTGACATCTTGCCGACCAGGGAGGTAATCCGTTTGGTGGCTCTGCAGGGTGCTATCATTGTGCTTGGGCTACATGCAGCTCGAGGAAGGCCATTGGTGGGCTCCTGACTGAGACTGTTAACCTTTGTCACGAGTGGGCGGTCGTTCCATGGGGGAGCAGTGTTTGCAGTCCGAGTTGCTGGGCAGCAGCAACCTTGGAAGTCACGAGAGGCCGGATGCCCCTCCCTCACCCTGCGCTGTTGACTCTGGGCTGAGTTAAGCCCACAGATTAGTTGCTCTTCCCCGTGGGCTCCGGCCATTTGTTTATGTCCATCTGTTTATGTCTATCTCCTTTGTCTCCCCCAGGCCCTATCTCTGTAGAGAACAGAGATAGGGCCAAGAACAGAGATAGGGCCAAGGACAGGTGTGTGTAGGGGACAGGCAGCACAGATAGTGGCAGCCAGGACCAAGGGGCATCACCTCCACCGGGCCCCAGCCCTGAGTTGTGGTCACCAGGATGTCACCCGAAGGAGCTGTCGCTGTCCTGTGGAACAGTGCTCCTGCCTGTGTGGCCATGGACATCAGGACAACCAGTCACCAACTGAGTCTCTCAGGAACCAGCCCAGGGTGCTGTGGCCTCGTGTTGCAGCTGAGCTGGCAGCAGAGCCAGGTCCCCGCCTGCCCACAGGGAGATCCGCAGGGCCCATGCTCCTCCCCACCTGGGCCGTGCTGGGCCTGGCTCCATCCTACCTCCACTTCCCCTCTCAGTTGGGAGAGTGGACGTTGGGAAATGCTTGGGACCATGTCCTTGGCTAGGAGAGGGCCAGGGAGCTCGGGGGAGCGCGAGGTGGGAGCACCACTCGAGTCTGGAAGCTTGAGATCAACTTGCGCAAGTGGGCAACATAGCCGGA